TTGTTTATGTATAACCTCTTTCACCACATCATATGACTTATTAGCATCGGGTTGGGTATCCATGGTTAATGGTTTGGATACCATCTCTTGCCATTAGTGCTAAATCTAATAAGCAAAATTTGTGTATTATTTAATTGAGGGATTCTTGTATAATGTATAAATATCATTGCTTAACCCTATTATTATTGTACGACATTTAATAATTTCAAAGTATTATCACATCGTGAACATTCGCTGACCTCTTATGAGATTGCGTTGACATGCAACATGTCCCCTTAATATTAAGAAAATGGATAAAGATTTAATGGTAGATTTGAAATTTAAGTCGTGGTTTTCATCGTATATCGAACCCAAGGAATTTCGTTGTAATCAAATCAACTTATACAAGAGTGTTAATGTAAAAACACACACACACACACATATATATATATATATATATATATATATATATATATATATATATATATATAATATATATATCTTTACTACTTATAAAAGAAATCTAACTATTTTTATAAATAGATTGAATATAATAATATTATTTTTTTAAGACGTCCAAACTATTAAGCTTGAAGTACAACCCATTTATAATATAATAATATTAAAACTTTAACCCTATCTTTTATCCCCTAAAAATCTGGTATCAAATTAATATAAGAATTCATTTGTAAATTGAACCCGCCAATCTCAACACTTCAGCCATTTAAAGCGGTCAATGTCAACAATTTATAGAGGATCTCTTCTCTCACATTGGTAACAAGTCATCTCATAATATCTATCTTCATAATCCCTTCAAAGTAAGAAATATACGCACACTCTCTGGAAGAACCATAATCAGTAACCAAGACAGTATAACCACCACCACCACAGCCGCTCTGCCTCCTTCCGCCTTCAACTAACAACTATCATGACTACCGCCCTTCCTCTCACCCACGACATGAACTTTCTTTTGGAACATAACATTTTTCTTTAAAAAAAATATCGTTGAAAGAAGCTATTTGTCCCCGCTGCTGTGCGCGGGTAACGGCTAGTATATATATATATATATATATATATATATATATATATATATATATATATATATATATATATATCATTATTATATATAAAAGCCCTTTTATTTTGGTGCCTTCTACAAGAAAGTAATAGGGTTCAATAAACTCCACGTAGCCAATTCCTGGAACGACGCAACATACCAAAATGTTGCTTACATCTTTTGACATGTCAATTACAATTTCCTGATCGTCGCTTCCGCTTAGAACGACGCAACATTCTCCGTCTCTCCAAACACACAAAGCCAGTTCCTCTCTAACAAAAAGCCGACCATATCTTCCAGAAAACGAAAATCACTGATTGTGCGATCACCAAAAAATCCGCTCCTGCAATTGCTTTACTTAATGAATCGAAGAAGAACGATAAATCTATGATCTCCTTCTTACTGGTATGTTATCTACAAGAACCCTAATTTGATTTAAAGTTTTCTTACTTGTTACCGTTAATCCAATTGACATTTTTTCCTGCCCCTATTAAATCTATTCAAAATTATCCCTGATCCTCCTATCTTGGAAATGCAATTTCGTGCATTGGCATAATTAAGTTGAAGCAAAAAGACCGGTTATTGTGTTCTTTTGGTCAGTTGTTGTTTGGGTTATTTTCACATTGAAATAAAGCTATCACATATAGATTATATGCCTTTTGTGCAAATAAATGATTGACAAAGTATTATCCTCTTGAACTCAATGTTGTTTCCACCGCTACACCTGTCGGGGCACCTTTTTTTTTATTTTTTTATTTACCTTCGCTGGCATACAACCTCTCCTCATCGTCCATAATGAAATTGATGACGGCTCCCGCTCTACTTGATATCTTCTTTCCCCACCCCGATGTACCAACGATCCCCCATTGATTTACTTCTTACAGATCTTCATCGAAGGTTCAAGAGACGACTTCTCACCTTTTTCCCATCATGTTTGGGCTACATATCTCATCCCTCTCCAAGCCACCGCTTCCTCTAATTCATATTATTAGTTTTTTTTTTTTTCGTTTATGATGATGTTAAAAAAAATAGCAGAGCTCTCATATTACATGGATTTTTTCTTAATCTAATCATCACACTTTCACCTTTTGTTTCTTCTTTTTGGGTTCCTCTATCTCTCTATTATAGGAAACCAATAGATATGGTCAATTTCATCCTGTTATCACATAGCATTTTTTTGTATCTTTTATAACTCTTTATGATAATAATTTGGTCGGACATTGGCAGGAATCGCGCATTAATCTTGTGAATCTTTTGTACTCCACTTATTTGTCAAAATGTTTCTGTTAACCAAATCATCACTAACATTTTTTCTTGAATGGTTATCTTTGATTAGTATTTTTTTTCCTTCATATATTTTCTAAACACGTCGACTCAAATTATCTTTTCGTATCAATCGGGTTTAGTTGTTCAAATAACATTTTTTATGAATATGATCTTCTAAATTTTACCTAACTGATTACAATTCGATATAGATGGGAGGTATTTTGATAATCCAGTTGAAGTTAGTGGTAGCTGCTTCATGCATTGCTTAATATATATTATTCCATTTGTACATTTATGAATTTCACACATTCAATAAAATGCACACGAGGTAAGTGTTCATCATCATTGGTTCTTGGAGTGAAATATTAGGTTATAAAGAACACATTTAATCATGAATTGGTGATCTAAAATGCAGGAACTGATATATTAGTTGGAGATCCATTACGGAGAATTGGGGTATGTTTTGTCATTGAAAATCTGTTTCTTTTTTTTTTTTGTATTAAATATTATGGTAGATTAAGTATGTCATATTCAAATGATTTATTATTGTTTACTACATCTATTTGATGATAAAGTGATGAAAGTAGGTTGTGATTCAATTCATTTCGGATTTTATATTTTATTTTGCTTTTTTTTGGTGGTTAAATTGATTATAAATGTCTTCAGCCCATCATTTTTTTATATTTCCAAATTGTGTGAATATGCTGCTAAATGTCTATTTTGTAGTCCGAAAGTTAGTTAGCACATTCTTTTTGTATAATCTCAAATTTTAAATCAATGTACTTTCATTTCTTTTTTCTTATTTCATGTAGTTCATTGAAAATTCACCAATTTACCGCATTGTAGTTTTTTCTTATTATGTAACCTTTTGATAAGATTTAAAAACTAACATAATCAATTAAGTCATGCCGCCTGTTGACCATGGTTATGTTCCCTTTCAATGGGATTTAGGTATCCTTCAGCATTGCAACGTTACCTAAAAAAGAAACATGATGTTAAGTAAATGTGTGCTCACTTTGCTGTTCCACCATGCAATTTTAGATTGTAAGATATGTCGAAGAGATGGAAAAAGCATGCACATGACTACCCCATGTTTATCTCAAAATTTGACCGACAGAAAAAGTAAAATAGTTAGTTGCATTGCATTTAACATTAATAGCATACAAAGGGTAGAATGGCCATTGACTTTCATACTAGACAGTTCAATCGGTGCAATAAAAAATTATGTATTCATACAACACTTTTTCTGCAGAAACATCAAACTTTTTACATTTTAAAAATGTTTTGCTTAAAATTTTATAATAACAATTCTATGAAAATATTACCACGAATATCGTCCTTTACAGGAGCTCGATTTGAAAAAAAAAAAAAAAAAAAAAAAGATTGTTGAAAGTTGTATTGAAAAGAGGAATTGAGAAAGTCGATTATTATTATGCACACATAGTAACCAACTGTGATGTAATTAGAAAGACAACATTCTGAAATAGTCAAAAGGTTGACCAACTATTTATACGTCCCTGTTCAAATTTGATCTCTATTTCCACAAGAAACTTCACTTTCTAACAGGGAAATTTTATTTTAACTAGCATCCCTTTGTTTACCAACCTAGCATAAAAATATTAGAGGTTTTCTGAAATTTGGTTTTTTCCTTTTTGTTGTTTTTTTTTTTTCTTTTTCAAATTACTCATTAAATAGCTACCCAAAATTGGACCAATTGGGGTTGAATTTCATGAGTAATTTATGGATGGGAGCATCACCAGTACTGAAAATTTGTTTAGCTACTTGTTGAATTTCATGAGTAATTTATTCATTTATTATATTTAGCAATGAACTGTACCATTTATCCAATAAACAATGTGGCTTTAAAAGATCCATTAATTGCATTATACTTAACTTTTATAATCATAGTACAACCGACTTGCAATTTTTCTCCCAACATTGATTTAAAATTGACAGATAATGCTTATATAGGGGAGCCGTGGACAAACCTGATGCTGTCTTGAAATCACAATAAGAACATATCAAAATTGTTGGGAATACAATAGATTTTCACTTTTTACCAATGTAGGCATGTAATTGAGTTTTTAACCAAAATAACAATACTATTTTACTTCCATAACCTTATCAATGATTTTTCATTTCCTTGCCAACAATAGCAACATACTTGCTTGATTAGTGATAATCGCAACACACTTAGAATTACTTACTCATAACCACAATGTACTTACATTTGTTCAAAAATTGAGACAATGATGAAGGAAATACCCAAATTTTACCTTTCATGGGCCGTGCTTAGCACGGGCCTTCAATATACCTAGTATATATATATATATATATATATATATATATATATATATATATATATATATATATCTTTGTGTGTGTATAAAGAGTCATTATATACCGATAAATCATTATTCTATTAATATTTCTAGTAAGAAAATTATTAATGACGTTTATAATTAACATTTGATAATATCATAAACTTAAAAAAAAAAATCAAAATGGAGCTAAAAAAAATTAGAGATCTAGATCTAAATTGGTAAAACTAATAGTCACTTGAATGTTGTTGATTTTGAGTTAATAAACTTTATCTTGTATGTGATATAGGGTTTGTTGTGTTTGAATTAAGGTAATATCGACGTCAAGCTATATTTTGTGTATGTGGCGTATTAGGGGCCTGTTAGCGTTAGCGTATTTATGGTTTATATGTTAGATACCCTTTCTTGCATCATTAATGTTGCTAAATCTAATAATCAAAAGAAAATTAGCATTTTCTATGATGATTTCTTATATAACACAATAATATCATTGGTTAATCCTATTACAAAGAGTAAGATAATCTCGTACTTTCAAAATGCTGTCTAATTTTGAAAATTTGCTTAACTTCTATGATGTTGTTTTGATATGTGGCATGTCTCGTTAAGGTTTAAAAAGTATATAAAGTTATGAAAATTTAAAATTAAATAATGTGGTTTTTTTGACACATTGAGCTCCATGAAGTTTCCTGGCAATCAAACCATCATAGACAAATGTTTTCATGATGACAATTTAAAAAAAAAAAAAAAAAAAAAAAAAAAAAAAAAAAACATGTACATACATACGTATGTACATATATATACAAATACACACATACACATTCAAACATACAAATATATATCGATAACTTATATTTATAATAAGAAAAATATTAATATCATCAATAATTAACCTTTGATAACATCATTAAGCTAGCAAAAATCAAAACTAAGTTAAACAAATTTATAGTTTTAGGTCTAAATTTGGTAAAACTAATAGCCACTTGAATGTTGTTTATAATAGACTTTGTAGGGAATGAACTTAATTTGGTAAGTCGTAACAAGTATTTTGTGTTTAAATTATTGTAATATGTATGAAAAAATGCATTTTATATATCTATGGTAGGGTAAAAATTATGGATTTTATCCATTTCCTAAAGTTCTATCATTTTATATACCTTAAAATGATTAGTAATATTTTTGATTGGTCAATTAACATCCACGTCGGTAAAATCATAAATATGACCATGTTGCCCATTTTTCTTTTTATTCATATCCATCATCTTATTCGTAAAAAACTTAGTGTTACAGAAACTCAACAAAAACCTTGAAAATTGGTCCTATGGTTAAATAAAACATAACAAAATTAATTATCAATTATCGATTATCAACTATGAAAATCAATATCATTTTCGTTATTTAGAACTGACTTAATATGTGATCCTTGTGGCATTAAACATAAGAGAGTAAACGAAAATAAGGAAGGTAGAAGACGACAGAATGGGGATGTTCGGTAAATTAATGTAACATCCATAAAATTTCACAAAAATTTAAAGTTTTTAAAAATTTCCACAAAACACCATTGTTTACAAATAGTTTTCAAACATATTTATTATCAGAATTTTTCCCCAGAGATCATGAAACAAAAAATGAGGAGGTGCACGATCACGTCTTCGCCTTCCCGCGGTCCTCTGAGGTACCTGAAATATAATCCAAAATTATAAGCCTAAAGCTTAGTGAGTTCCCCCAAAGTACCAACACACATACAAATATCACATATACCAAAAACAACATACTATGGGTCGAATCGACCATCGGGTTGGAATACCCCAGACCCCTCAACCATTAGGTTGGAATGCCAACATACAATACCCTAGGCCCCTCAACCATCGGGTTGGAATGTCATATATTATGAGTCGAATCATCCTCGAGATGGAATACCCTCGGGCCTGTTTAACCATCGGGTTGGAATGCCCTAGTCTGTTGGCTCACGCACAAAACAGTAAAGCCTCAACCATAAACCAAACATGTACACATATAACAGATAATCATAAAACATGCTATTGATAGTCAGACAGATCTACAGATCACATTATATCATCCTATATACCAGGATACTGACCTAACAGGTCTCTACAATACAATAGCATGCATAACAGGTTATCAAGCCAAAGGGCCGACCTTGGTGCCTTAGACCTTGTTAGTATAGTGAGGAAAACTCACCTCACAAGCTGAACAGAACTGATAAGGCCCAACTCCGAATCTCAATTGTCTACTCAATGCCTACATCTACCAAGTGACTAATTCCAGTAAAATCCAAAAATACTCTTAATAGTACAACTTGGTAAAACATGGTCAAAATAAGCAAACATGGTCAAACTTGGTCAAACATGCTCAAACTCAATAAACCCATTGAGTCAACCCATCCAATTTAACTCAACATGGGTTAAACCATGCGAGTGTGCGGGACGTTCCCAGAAGTACGTTTAGTGTACGCAAGGCCTCGCATTGACCAACTTCCAGGGCAGCTGGACCAAGTATGCAAGGCGTACTCCCACCTACGTAGCGCGTACCCTCGCAAAATCCACAACTTCATTAAGTGATTAATGGCTTAAGCACTTAAGCCCGAACTTCAGATCTATGGTCCAAATGCACCCTAGAGTCATAAAGTCTCCAACTTTATGGCTTTACACGTACAAAAAGTCCTTAATACATGGTCTTAATTCATCATGACACTCCTCAAGATGCATGAGATACTTCTAGCCATTGGGACCTCATTTTTATGACTAAGGACCCTTCCAAGGGTCTGAATGGACAACTCAATGAATCCATAACATGACATGGTCAAGATTGAGCATTTGGGACCAAAAAGAAGCATAAAACACCAAACAAAGAGATCTAGCAAATAAGCCATGAAGATATGAACTTTATACCTTGAAACGATGGAGAAAAGTGCAAAACTTCCATAACTAAGCCTTGCTTCAAGCTTCCAAGCTCCTTGATGCAACTCCTTCTTCCTTTAACACACCAAAAACACACTCTTGATCTCAAAACACACTCACTAAGGGTTAGAGTTTGCCAAAAACGACTCAAAGGATTTGGAGGCTGAAAAGGTGGGGAGAAATGAGCCATAAGGGTGCTTAAATACCCCTCAAACCCTAAACCTTAGGGTTTCTTCCAGACATGAGTATGCCTAACTACTAAGGCATGCCCT